CGATCAATGCAAGCTTGCTTCAGAAATTTAATCTGATTATTGAAAACCTATCATGTTGGTTTCGTAATATGGACGATATTGCGGAGAAAATGCGTTCGAAGGGAATCAATTAGTAATATAGGCGGACTGAATGAATTGGTCGCATGATTGAAGGCTTTTGAATTGTTGAAATTGTTGAAACATCAGAATACTTGAAAGGGCGATATCTGAGCGATGAAATTGCTTGTCACATCCTTTTCATTTACGTTTGAAGAGTTCAGATAGATCATATTGTCGTATCTACATTCATTCTTGGTTCTCTTTAAAAACCAGCAAAAAATTCCAGTTCGGTGGTGCTCAAAGTGGATACTGCACGAACAGCAGTCAAGGGTTCGCATGTGCAACTAAAGAGCCTGGCGATACTTTCACGGTACATTTTCGGTTTCATAAGAAATTCCACCACGAGCAACTAAGCCTTTTTTCGTTTGGTTATGATTTTGCTTCTTCCGTTCGTTCACTGTCAACGAGTTTATGCTCCAATCGGTGCTGATGACTTTAAGAGTGCCTCTTTCGACGGCATTCTTGGTATGGCTTGGGATTCGTTGGCAGTGGACAATATCGCACAGCCGATGGATCAAATTTTCAACAGTCCTCAATGTAACGAGAAATTATTCGCCTTCTGGTTGAACACAAACGAATCAGCACAATTCGGTGGAGAGATAACGCTCTGTGGCATCGACCAGAGCCGTTATCAGGTGAGATATTTACTAAGAGTGATTCCAAACTGAGGCATCCTCTAGTATTACTCTTTATGGAGAAATAGATTTTTTTTTTCAGTCAGTCGAAATTTGTTCAATCTATTATTAATAAGAATCAATTCTTCATTTCCTATGATCCGTTTAATCGGATTCTGTCAGTGAGAGACAGCCAAGTCAAAAATCTGTGAATATGCACATGAAAATCGATTAACACTGAGATGTCACTTGATCACTTCATCTGCAATAGTTCAACTTTCCAGGGTGAACTGACCTGGATTCCACTCAAGGAAACCAACTATTGGATGGTCCAAATGCAAGGCGTGTACATGGGCCAGCAGCAGATCGTCGGTCAGTTTGATGCTATTCTCGATAGCGGTACGTCTCTGATATTGATTCCAAACAGTCAGTTCAGTCAGGTAAATTTTTAAGTTTACAATTGACTGGTCCGACGGATTCGGACTTAGTTGATTCAGTCACATACGTGATTTCCGATTGATCGTATTTAGAGTTCATTTTGAGAAGTTTTTGTTTGATGCACATATGAAACTGAAGGATTTGATAACAGTTATTGAGTGATACTGAACCAAAGTGTTTAAAAGTAATATTACGATATCTGCTTCATCGCAAATGAGATATTTTAATCGACCAGAATTCTACAGTTCAGTCTAATAAGCTATTCATTGAATATTATAGCCATGTTGTCTATGCCAAATTGCCCTAATGACTGAAATCGTTCACATGGAATCGATGAGGATAGAGTCTCAATTCCAGTCCATCCCCACCGATCGAATACCATTTGAACAGTCATTTGTTTGCTTTCAGGTCATACAAGTTTTGGGCGCTACCGAAAACAACGGACAGTACTTGGTGAGTTGCTCTCAAGTCAGTTCATTGCCAGCAATTACCGTCGTCCTCGGCAATCAAAACTTCAACGTTCCTGCAAACGCCTATATAGTTCCGGTTAGTGATGAATACCCCAGTAGTCCGCCAAATACATACGATATTCATCCGCATCTTTGAGTTTTAGACCACTCGAGGCTCATAATCTCAAAACTATCAGTCGATTTTGCAATGGATACAGAATTTTGATCAGCCGAAATTAAATGATGTTGATGCATGATTTAGCGCAGAATTCAGCTTCAGTGGCTGAGAATTAAAGTCAAAAATGTAAAGGAATGTTTTGGAAATGCGCAGAAAGCTTGTTTGATTAGAAATCAAATTGTTTCAGTTCGGTAATGGACAGTGCGTCGTTAACTTGCAATCCGGCAATACATCATTCTGGATTCTCGGCGATATCTTCATTGGACAATTCTACACGGTATTCGACCATGGAAACCAAAGAATTGGACTGGCACCCTCAAATACGGCGATTAATTAAAACGTTTCATTGGATCGCTCGAAATGATCGTCGATTGAGTTCATCACTGTTGTGATGACAGTTATGTATTGCAACTGTGAATAAAGCTCACTTGCTCTCTACTTTTTCGTTTCACCATGAAATACATCGAACACTGGTAATACTTGACAACACAAAGGTCGACTCATTTAAAGAAATAATAATTCAGACTAATCGAGAAGGTTTTGTCAACGAACTGCAGATATGCAATGCTCTAACCTGATTGGGCAGCTCTGAGGTTCCACAATCAGCACCAGGCTGAACGGAGGCATTCACATGTTCAAGGAAGCCGGGGAGTCTCAATTAAATGCGGAAGTCTCAAAATCCTGCGCAACATTTTTTGAACTATCTAAATGGGATACAGATTTGAGACGGGAAGTCCTTCGATAGAGAATTATTGATTCAGTATTTCACATTTGATTCAAAATGAGATCAAATTTAAACGATTGCCATCAGCCATGTGATGCATTTGAACTGTGGAAGATCAGCGCTGCAATTTTGTGAGTACACGCACATGGTTTAGGCTTCAGTTACAATCGCGTTCATGGTTGATTGTAATGTTGGCAATATATCAGATTACAATATCGTGAGAGATCTCCAATTCGGCGACTTGATAGGCGCAAATCTTCACTGGCGAAAGTTGCATGCCTGAAACATATCGCTCATTTCTACACGGAAAATTTAGAATTCCATTCAAGAGCACGATCCTACTGTCAGCTGCAGCACAAACGAAGATGAGATGGTGTTATTT